AGAGAGAGAGAGAGAGAGAGAGAGAGAGAGAGCCTTGGACTTGGCGTGTCGTTCTTCCGCGCCGGCGGCCGCGCGACCTAACGCCAGGCGCCCGCAGATGGGCGGGTAGGCCGCGCGGCGCACACGGACGCGCCGAGCCGCCCAGGACTGCCTACCTCCCGGGCGCCCGAGGAGCCACAGCAGAGGAGCGGCAGGCCGGGGCGCGCGTCGTCCGCTAATTGAAACGTAATCCATTTGTCCGCACGTCCATCCCGACACGGCGGGCCTGGCCGGGTCCCCCTCCCCCCGGCACTGCTGCTGCTGCTGCTGGACCGCCTCTAGTCTCAGCTTGGTTAGTATGCGGTCTGTTAGGTGGGTTACGGTTCTGCAAGGCCAGTGCTTCCACTGATTAAAGTGCGGGGGCGGCCGGGTGGGGGATGAAGGGGGGCGGGGTGGCAAATCCAATGCGCGTGGTGGGCTTGCCTTTCGCAGCTGGCCGGCCGCAAGCGCTGCAGCGGAGAGCCGGGCAGGTGTCCGGCAGCCTTGTGACTGCTCAACCCCCTGCTGCTCGGCAGCCCCGCAGCGCGTTATCATCAGCTTGAGCACCGGTATCAGCGCGGCGGAGATGTCGCGCGCGGACGCAGCTGAGCCGCGGGGGGTCTGTATCGCCCCGGAGCGCGTCGCGAGGCTCGGAATGACTCCGGTGGTTAATGGGCGGCCGTCACTCGGCTGATGACTGGAGTCCCGGCCGGCCGTGGATCACTGGAGGAGGACACCTGCAGCTCCCCCGCCCGCCCGCCACGCCGCGGCCTGGGTGGGCCATTCTGGCGGCGCCTGGCCGGCTGGCCCACCGCCGTCGGTGTAATTGATATTTAGCGGCGGAGGCTGCGGAGCGCCAATGGACCAGAGTGGCTGAGCCAGGGACGGCGTTCCCCCACCACCGGGCCGCTCTGATTGGGTGTCGTCCGTGCCGAGGAAAAAGCCTTTGCCGTGGATGTATTTTTAGGAGGGTTGCTCATATCTCAGATATATAAAGTCTAATGCAATTTTCTAAATCTTGAACAATTCCGAAATGTTTAGTCAATTTTCCAGTCTGACCATGCGGATCCGGCGTGTTGGAAAATGGTGATGGAAAATGTGGAGAGTACAGATATGCTTTACTTTTCCAGCCCAGCGGGCTGCTCGCTTGCTTGGCCTTCGACTTTACGCGTGGGTCGATGGTTCTTCGCAGCAGCTAGAACACGGAGAGCTCCACCTCCATCGGCCCAGAGAGGACCGAGCCCCGATGGCAAACATAACTTTGGCTAATACTGCCCTTTAACGCCTCTTTAAGTGGCGGCTGTTTATCTCCATCAAGAAGTTTTGCGCGTAGGGGAGACTGTTTGGGTAGGGAGAGGAAGAGTGGGGAGGGAGCGTAAAAAAGAAGGTAGAGTGGAGAGGATAGGGACGGAGGAGGAGGAGGAGGAGGAGGAGGAGGAGGAGGAGGAGGAGGAGGAGGAGGAGGAGGAGGAGGCCTGCAGTGGATGTATAGATGTAGTGCGAACCCATTTAGATTAGCACACCCCCGGCAGGCAGGGCCCGGCCGCGCTGAAGTGGTAGTAGCGAAGGGTTGGGTCTAGCCTCGCCGCCGCTACAAAGCGCCCCGCGGAGGGAGGGGCGGGGCGCGCGGGACGCTGCGGTGGTATGAAAACAAGGTATAAAGAGCAGTGGTGGAGCTCGCCTGTATCAGAGAGGGGAGCACGACTGCTGGGCTAGCCTCGGGCGTGGCATGGTAGAGCGAGGTAGGGCGTGGTGAGGCGTGGCCGGGCGTGGTGGGGCGGGGCGTGGTGAGGCGTGGTGGGGCACATCCTCCTCCGCTAACAGTGTGAATGACAATGATACATGCGCCCTCCGCGTAGCTTCCCAGCCCCAGCCCAGCCCGTTCCCAGGCACAGGCTCCAAGAACGCCAACGTTGACATTAAACAATATGGTTAAAAACTTGATCCAGGCACTCTACCTCGGAATAGTTTAAACTCGAAAGACCATCGACAATCATCTGACTGTTGAAAAGCACCATTGTTGGGTCTGCGTCATCGTCACAATAGTTGCAGATAAAAAGTTCTTGCTCTGTGCGACAGATACAAATTCCCCAATTTCCAATGTGTTTTTCTTATTTTCGTATGACACGCGAGATGACAGGCATGGACTTTGTTTTATTCTTTCTCTATCTTGAATTTAAATCAAATGTAATGCAAAACTGAAAATAAAAACATGTAAATCTAAATAAGCAATAAATGTTCTAAATCTACCAAGACATTCTTCACAGCGGTAGTAGGTGTGTGAGTAAGAAAACAGTGTGTCGTTAGGATATAACCCCCCTGACGACTAGGTATTTGTTCTACGTCCGAAAACATATGTGGGTGTACATCTAAGGTTTGCGTCGTTTGGCCTTTTCCGAAGGAACGACTCCGTTAGAAGCGGTGTTTGGTGTCCATTGGACTCGAGTGGGTGGTGTTCATGTGTTTCTTTTGGCAGCCACCCCTCGCGCGCCCTGCCGCCTGGGCTGCGTGCTTCTGGAGCAGCGCGGTGGCTGGGGAGGGGCTTTGGGGTGCGCGCCTCGCGCCTGCCTGTCCGACAGTCGGAAGAATTTAATTCGAGCGCCTGGCCGGTATTCGATTCACGCCCCGTGCTTCCTCCCACCTCCCCTCTTTCCCTTGCACTGCTCGTTGTGTCCGTCTTTCTCTGCTACACTACGTCACCTGTCGTTCCCCGTCCACTAGCCTTCTCTTAAACACCTTGGGTGTGTAAGTTGTCTTCTAAAAGGCGATGTCGAGGCGCCACGACCGTGGCACGCGAGACTTTGTCACGCCAGGAGAGGGAAGAGACTTAAAAAAAAAATCGCATCTGAAAGGGGTGGTTTGCGAACGATGTGGGGGCGGTTTTTCCCTTTTGTCTCAGCATACGTCAAGGCATCATACAAGGATACACGAAACAATTACAACCCCACTGTCGCCCAAATGTTCTGTTTACACTAAAACGTGAATTCACTGAATTATGATTTCTGATAAATTAAGCCTTATTCCTACCATAACTCGTGTTTTGTAACACTTCCGATTTATCGGAGTTGTGGAAGTGATATCATTTTATCATGCAATGAAAGTGTGTGAGAGAAAATTATCACAAAAAATAGCTATCCAGT